ACACTGGTTACTATTCTGTGATGAAAAGTACAGGTAGGAATAAAGTTCGTGCTTGGTCGTGTGAATTAACAACTACTTACCCCTGTCTCCAAATTTCGTGACGATCAGAGCATATTTGGCTTTCTTATAGTCTTCTAAAAACGTTGAGTTTTTAATGGCGTTCAGTGTATATGGCTATTCAACGTAAAAGGTTGCCTCCAGTCCAATTTTTGAAATGCGTCGAACAAACAATATTATCAACGTATGTTGAAGCATATTGGATGAAAAATATTTTTTTAAATGTTAGTTATCCTTTTTGCGTGACCACGTGAATTGGCAGTCATCTTGGAATATGGCCATTAAAATATATTACGCTGCAGAAATGAGGCCCGGACGTGTACTCAGTTTCGCTGATGATGTGCTGGTGTACAGGCAAGGCAAAAACCGCCAGGTTACAACAGAGAGAGTATAGGAAGAGCTCGACACACTCGAACAGTGGTGTGAAGCAAACAACGGGAAACTGCTCCCAGACAAAGCCTGCGCACTGTAGTGTACACTGAATAACCATGCAGTGCACGATGACATGTCTGGTATCTCGGTTGGAGGTAAAGTGCTAAAGAGGGAACACACACTGAAGTACTGCATGGGTATCACGTTTGATCGTACCCTCTCTAGCAAAGATCACTTCACGAGAACAATATCCAGGGCGAGGAAAAGCCTAACAGCCCTTAAGAAGAAGGCTAGAGCTAAGATGAACCAGAAAATCCCTGTCATCCTCTACAAGACACTGGTACTCTCTGTCGTAGAGTACGGGCTCGGACTCTTGACCCTACCAATGGCGCAACTGCAACCACTCGAAAGGTTACAAACGAAGGAATGAGGGCAGTCCTGGGATACACACAAGACACCTCAGCTGAAGCAATGAGATACCTCCTGGGCTTTTTACGAGTCAGCGCAGACGAGACGAATCCCCTACATAAGAAAGTGGGACGGCAGATGACATCATCTAGGCTAAAGAGGGGCACAGAATGGATGACTCAAGCCATGAACACCATCAACGAGTGCTGCCAGATTCAAGACATCCGGAAAGGCTAGGATTGAGTCATGGTCGAAGATGCGCTCGGAGAGTACACAACGGTGAAGGCTACATTGGGTAGAGAATGTCGCAACTGGCCACCTGGAGGTACAAACACTGAAATTGAGACCCTGATAGAAGAGGATAGCAAACATGGAGATGCTGTGATGTTCACGGATGGATCAGTCAAAAGAGGAGTCAAATCGGGCTGGGCCTTCAGTGTCAGAGTTTATGGGTAGTTGTGAAAGGGCAAATCGGAGCAACTGCACTGACAGCATCCAGTATGTGTATGGAGATAAAAGCCATAAGTGAGACTCTACACTGGATCAAGAACACAAGCCATCAGCGAGCAGTAATCATTACTGACTCTATAGGCACACTACAAAAGGTACAGAAAGGGATGCTGCATGCGGACTGGAAGGCTACGATCACGGAGAGCAGCCTGGAAAGAGTGGCCTGGATCTTCTGCCCGGGCCATGCAGGGATAACCGGCAACGAGAGAGCAGACAAGCTGGCTGGAGAAGCAAATGTGGGAGGGAATTTGACACTGGACCCACCAATCGTCATAACAGCTGTAGGGGAAAATTTGAGGAAAAATAGAGCAGATAGTAGTTCCCACACCTTAGGTAAATAGAAGGAGAAGGGCATCCAAAAAGGAGAATGGAACTACAGCCACCTGTGCGGACCAGTCCGACGGATCTCCAACCATATTATGATGGAAACTGTAAGCAGACAGACTCTGGGATAGATCCTGAAGAGGGGAGGAGAGCAGAGATGGACATGTTCCGACTGTAGTGACCCCAACACTGAGGACAAGGACCATAAATGAGGCAACGTGACCTTGTAAGAAAGCCAATGCTTTCCATCCGTGGCAGCACAGGTACAACATGAATAGGCTATGACCAATTTATTAGTTTTGATTTTTACATCATGAAGGGTTTTGTGCAGTAAGCCTTACAATTTCTAATTCAAATTCTTTCACAGTGAAAACTACAACATAAATTTTTCTGTTTAAAGTTTAAACAATAAACAGTGAGTCGGCTAATCCTGCCAAGTTTCAGCTGATTTGCTTGAAAAACAAAAAAAAAGTTGTAAGCATAATATGTGTGTCAAAAAACACAATTTTGAGAAAATGGCCGATAAAAATCAAACTAATAATAAACTGCCATTTACACATATAAAGAAAACTCCATTAATATTGCTACATGTATTGTCTAATGCATTTTCGAGCTGTTTTCGACTGCTAGATGACAGAACAATGGTTAAGGAATGCAAATATAGGAAAGCTAAATTGCCCCAAAAATGATTTTTATTGATTTTTTTACCAGCTCATACAATCAAAATACCATTTAATGTCTAAATCGGTGGAATAATCACATTTAAGGCAATGACAGGCACTTTAAATATGACTACATGATGGTATTTCTCTGTCTTTTCAATTACCATTTCGGTGCAAAGTATGTTGTAGCTATTTCATTTTTATTTTCAGAACATGAAACTTCATATTTTCTGGTTTTTTGGTCTTGTTCATATGGATACAACAGTTTCATTCTCTGACTACCCAGAATACTTTAAAAACGGTAATTATTGACGGAACGGTAATTAACGGGACAACAATGTAGCTTGGCAAATGAGGTTTTATTAGTGCGTACACGATGTATCAATATCTTATATGAACTTTTGAAAAAGGTTCTTTGCTTCTTACTGGTAAAGCACTGTACAAATTTAATGTAGACATACAGTTCTTAGTATCAATTATTATTGAGCAGCACTGTCATCAATTAATAATGAATATTTTAATACTATAATGCATTTCACCAAGGATTAGTAAATGGCTCAGGCCAAGCTCTGCGGATGCTTTTTCTCTGCAACAATTTTACGCACTTAGTTAAGATGATGTTTCGTTTATAGTATATAAAAAGCCAAGTATTAAACTAAAAGGAGATGGGGGGAGGGGGGTGGTTTTAGACTGACGATGTTTTGTCAATTTATGTTCTCCGGACTTTGTACGTATACTCCAACCACTTGTAAATCTAAAACTCTAAAAAGTACTTATTCTTTGTGTCACAATTATCATCTTTCAGGTCTTCTGTCCTACTCGTAGAACTTTCATTTTACATATTATGTAACAGAATGTCGCTTTTTCTCAAAACTTCAATTTTTGATGTTTTTTCTACTTTTTTCATTTTCTTTTTGATTCCAATGAAAGGGCTTGTTATTCATACCATAACCTAACTTTATGCAGATGGAAAATAAAATCGATGCTTTAAAGAGTGAGTTACATGGATGAATATGTAATCGAATTCAGAGGCATGAGTTGGTAGGTCAGTTATCCATCTCTAACTTTTTTTTCTATTCAAGATATCCAAGATCCCAACTGTATGAAATTTTGTATTGAGCATATCTATGAATGTACTAAATTTGGTTTGAAAATAAGATATCATTTTTTCTTTTATGAAAGCTGTTTATTTTCAACATACGACGGCTGTTACCATGGCAACTAGGGACTCAAAGAAAAACATTACAGTTACATTTTACATATGTTTTCTTGTTATACCTCCAAGTTATAAGGCTTTATCTAAGAAGGCCATAGTTACCGAGATAGATTTATAAACCAGCCCCGTCCCCTTAATAAATTACGTACATTTTGGTTTGGTGGGTTTTATTTGGGGTTGTTGTTGTTTTGTTTTGGGGTTGTTGTTTTTTTTCAGCACAAAAGTTATGGCAAAGGCACATAGACAGGGCTAGGGTGTCCGAAGAAAGGAACTCTGGCAGTGATAAAACTTCATAACATAGATGTGAATGACAGTTCAAGAACTGCAACACGCTGCCGCCAGTGACATGCCCAACCCTCCTGCATCATGACTTTTAACAACTTGATCGTAGCTTTTTTGCCACCTCTCTTAGCATTGGTGGTATTGGTGAAACTGTGAAGCAGACAGTATGGAGACAAGTCCCTCTCCCTCTCTCTCTCTCTCTCTCTCTCTCTCTCTCTCTCTCTCTCTCTCTCCCTCCCTCTCTCTCTCTCTCTCTCTCTCTCTCTCTCTCTCTCTCTCTCTCTCTCTCTCTCTCTCTCTCTCTCTCTCTCTCCCCCATCCCCCCCCCAAAAAGTTACCGTCCATACAACTGAAGACCAATGTTGCATAAGCTGTTTGTCCAAAGGTGAATGTTCTTTATGCTACTGCAGACGGTATTGCTACAGTTCGTCAGGAGCTTCCTTACTTCTGGGCTGAAAACATCCCCAGGGCCACACCTGAGCATGAGACAAGGTCATTTCAATACTTTCAGACTATGTCTGAAACAAGAATTCCAGCTGTTGCTATCAGCCCCCTTTTAAAAGCCTCGGTTGATGGTAAAGAGAAATCCTCACCACTTGGGAATCATCTTGAAAGTCAGCACAAAAACAAACTTGAACTCCAGCCATGTACTTCTACTTCTGGAATCAAAAGTCCATACCGTCAACAACTTTCTGGTTGTGTGAATCCGCTGGCCAACAATGCATCAGTGAAGTACACGTACTATGCGGTCAATTATAATGCCAATAGATTCTACATGAGGAGGATCTTGAAAGCTAACCAAAAAAAAAAAAAAAACACCCAGATTTTAGAACATGGAGATCCTTCACTAGTCATCAGTGAATGGCATTTCAGTACATACAGTGAAACTCGGATATAACAAAGTCGTCGGTTCCGACCTTCAGTTTTGTTAAAATCCGAGTGTTCGTTATAGCAATGTGAGCAACAAGTTGCGTTGCAATGAAAACCTTACCACACGGCAACGTTTATTTGCACAGACCAGCGTGGAATTGATTACGTATATCTAAATTTAAATCTATATCCAAATTAGCAGTTCATTGTTCCGTAACCAGTGGAAAGGGGGGGGGGGTGCGAAGGGACTGCTGTGACGCGTATGTCCTGCCGACTGTGACGCAACGTACCACGCCCCGAACGCTGTGCCTACAACCCCGTTCCCCCAGATACACACACTCACAGACAGCCATCCGTGTACTAGCGGCCTGTCCGACCTCTCTCAACCCGTGCTGTTGGTAAGGTACTAGATCTTCGTGTACTTTGCAACATTCAGTAAGTTACATTCAGTTACACTTTAACTCATTGATAGTGACTTATCTTCAAGAATTGAGTTCTAATAGCCATGAAAGCTTATTTTTGGTTGAGAGTTGTGGCAGACTGTATCCATCTTTCTGCTGGGATGTTGTATCTCACCAAACCCTCTCTGATCTCACTCAGCCTGGATGGGTCGTGACAGTAGGTAGGCGTTGAAACAGCCCGCCTTAATAAACTTAATTGTGTTGATGGAAGCGTAAAACATTTGCAAAATATGAAAATGAAAATTGCCTCTGCTGTTGTTGTACTGTTTTTGTTTTATTTTTGGTGTTGTTTTTTTACTGTTCAAATTATTGACAAAATGGAGCTCAGCATTAAAATGTGTGCCGTACCGTGAGTCGGGATCGGATGGGTGGCAAGCACGTGTGACGTATAACTGTGTGCGCGTGTGTCGGGGGGGGGGGTGTAACAAACGGTACGGGCGTGGAATGTCAGTACTGTAGAGACACACATGCGACACATGTATTTTTCTAACAGACTATTGATTAATTTTGCAATCATAAGCGAGTGTTGACATCAATCTACTAAATGAATTGCGCGCTGGACTGTGAAATCAAACGTTGCCATATGCCTATACAGTTACATAACTTGCTCGGCAAACAACACGTACGTTATACTAGATGATAGATGACACAGGCGTTTCACATTTGAACGAATAAGCCATTTTGAACAGTGTGTTTGGGAGAGTTCAGTGTATTTTCCTGGAATTGTCCAGCTTTTTTTCGTTATCATAGAAACGAAAATGCGTCTCATTTTAAAGCAAACTACTTTTAATTGAAAATGTCGAATACATTATATTAACACATGTACTTGCTCTGTGCCTACAATCATCTACACAAAAACCTCATATTTGTATTTTTTAAGATAATTAAATTAAATTTTTTAAACCCTCAGATTCAAGGAGGTTGAAGACTGTATCCGACGACTTCATTGAATCTGAGTTCTATGTGTGTGTGTGTGTGTGTGTGTGTGTGTGTGTGTGTGTGTGTGTGTGTGTGTGTGTGTGCCAGCTCTCGTGGTCTAGGGGCACGGTGTTTACCTCTCATTCAATAGGTCCCGGGTTCTAAGCTCGGCAGCAACGGTAAATTTTCTTCTCTGAAACGTTCTCTTTCCACCTCCTTTCCTATTCTCTAATCATGTTCTGACATCTGCTTAAATTAGCTACAATTACAATTCGCAAACGCTTCATCGTAATATCGTCCCTTTAGGGTGGCGCATTAACCTTATAAAATTTTAAATGATTATCTCGCACCATTTGTTGATAGAACAGCTTTATTGTGTGCATTAAACTAAAAGTAAATATTAGCTGGTCACGCATCAGCAGATCCATTAGAATGTGACGTTTTGCTCCATATCATTCAAAATTTCCACACACGTGTTCTAAGAGTTAGGAAATATTTTAATATTTATAAGCAAGTTAATCACTTTAAATTCAAGCACGTGAACTTGTTAATTAAATGAAAGAATACCAAAAAAAAATAGTTAGTTATAGTAGAGGATTTTACGGCGCTCACAACTGCATACGGTCATATGAGTGCCAAAAAAATAAATTAAAACCTATATATGGAAAAAATCAGCCACAGCTTTATGAAGCCAAGACATCTCTGTGTATTATATAACTGGTGATACAATAACATAATTGGAAGAAATGTTTGAGAAAGCTAACAATGAAAGTAGTCTACGTGTAAGGCTTCGTGGCCAAAGCAAAAATGAGTTTAAAATACATATTATAGCGTAGGCTACGTAGGCCTATACAATATCATTATTGTTACATACAGCTTTAACAACTCCAATCTTTTTTTTTTTTCTTTTTTTTGAAAATTGGTAAAACGATTGATTTATTTATCTATTACATGTTTAAACTGCGCTCCACGTCATACACGTTCTCTCTCTCTCTCTCTCTCTCTCTCTCTCTCTCTCTCTCTCTCTCTCTCT